CTAAATGACTGGAATAGCATGATAGGTAAAAGAGTCGCATGCCTAGGGTCTAACCAAAGTAATAAGTAATCCAAAACCATACAAACTAATTAAGGTACAAAGACCATAACAATTTAGCAAGGTGATGGTGTCAAAACAAAACAATAAGGAAGGTTTTACAGATACAGAAGTGTGGTGGGGTCACATGTAGCGCGACATGAACCCAAGATCACGGTTAAGGCTGTCTTCATGGGTACGGAACTTGGCAATCAGTTTCTGCTCGGCAATTTTGTGTTGTTGTGTGTCTCGAAGTCTGCCTTGGAGGACGCTTACCAAAGATCAGAGGCTGAATGTCCTTGATCGCTGAAATGTTCCTTACAATGTAGGATTAACAGCAATCAATTTGCACAGATCAAACTCTCACACACAGAAGTGTGGTAACAACCAGAATGAGAGTTTAGATTCTTATTCTCAAGTTTGTGGACGTGGGAATTGAACCCACAGTCTTCACAAAGTGTAGGAATAAACAGGGCATTTTTAGGACAACACTGTGCATTTAGTGTAGTGGTACAGAGAGTAGTGGTTAAGCCTCAACTGTTTACAATACATATCATGATCTGGATGAGAAAAACAAGTGTAATTCATCGAAATCTGCTAACAGCACAAAACTCTGTGGAAAATTAAGCACTAAAGGGTGTGAACAGAAGCTACAAAAAGATTACAGCAACTCTCTGTAAATGTGAAGCTACTCACATTTATAGGAAGCGCATTGAAGTAGTTTTTTTTAAATAGGCAAGATACCGGTATATATTAGTATTCGAAGGATCCTTGTACACATTACAGAAAATTAACTCACAAGCACCAGAAACAATAAAGAAGGCAAGAGGCATGTTAACCTTTGTTGCAAGGCAGTTCGGCTACAAGTGTAAGGAAGTGTTGCAATTATATATCACTTTGATGACATGACATCTGGCATACCGTGTACAGTTTTGGTTTCTCTACCTAAGGAAGGATAAACTTCTCTTTGAGACGGTACAATGAAGGCTCAATTGATTAATTCCTGAAACAAGACGATTGTACTATGAGTACTCAGTGCAAACACATATATAAGTCTATGGGTGAATCTGCATTTGCAGATTTGTAATTGCAAACACATTCTATATTGTTCAAAAAGCACACAATTTGTACACAGTGTGGCATTGAATAATTTCCTACTTTGGAAATAAAACCAGTCTGACTGCAAGTTGATACACAGAGTCTAAACAAGGCCTTACACCTAAAATGTATTGTCTGACCTGAGTTGCCACCTGTGGTATACTGAGAAAACCTTTAGTTATCTTGGGGCAATGTCTTGAAAGAAATTCTGGAATTTGCATATTAATCCTCTTTAACTGATTAAAGATTTAACAGCCATCTTAGGTTTGTTCAACACAATCTCATCAGTTCTATGATCCTTTAATGTTTTGCTTATTAATTCTGTGTCTGATGCCATCTCTCTCACTGACACCAAGAAGAAAGCTTGTGTCTTCAAATAAATCTGTTGGACTATAAGCCGGTGTCATGTGATTTTTGACCTTGTTCTATGAGTAGAATGGGTGTACTTTTTCTGGAGTTTTGAAGAATGCGAGATGATTTAGCACTGCTAAAAAACAAATTAATGAAGGTTTTTATCTTAAACTCAGAGAAATTCACAAGAATACCAATAGAGAGGAAAACCACCATTACTGTCGGAGAGGAGATGCTCATTGGTTGGCAAATGCTAGCGGCATTGCCATGGAGAATGCAGCAGGTAACAATATTTACAGTTCACTTTTCAGGCTTTGTTTAGATTTCAAATCAGATAGTTTGACTCTAATTCACCAGGGCATGCCGTGAGTAATAAATCAGCAAATGGACATCACCTATTTTATTGCATTTTGACAGGCACAGTGCATGCATATATTCTTTCTGTCCGCAAAGAACAAGGCACAATATATTCTTGTATATGGTTTACAGTATACTTAACTGTGCCATACTGTGAGCCCAAGTGACCATCCTAAATTGGTTGTCATGTAATTCTTCACACCCTCAGGATTGTTGTCCAATTGCAGAAACATATCTAATACACAATGTTACGTGTTTAGTAAGTGCAGGCTAGTTCGATACAGTCAGTACTCCACTTGTCACAAACAGCTAAAAGGATATGCTGTTTACTATGATCCACCAAGCTTTGGGACAGATTACCTACATGCTTGGCATCACACACGCACTGAAATTCACATAATATACGTACCCACAATGATATGGTCTCATTGAAAACATAAAATTCTTAGAGGGTACCTAAAGATGAGGTCCTTCTCTACAGGAGAGTCTGGAATTTGTTGCAGAGAGAGGTTAAAGGGGTTAGCATCTTAGGACTGAGAGGAAGACAAATTTCTTCACTCAGAGTTATTAATCTTTAGGATTCTGAACTCATGGGGCTGTGAATGTTTTACCAGTAAATACACTCAAGTCTGACAGCAATAGATCTTTGAACACTAAAGGAAGCAAGGAAAATAAGGAGAGGATAGAGAAATTGTTGATGTAAGGAGGCTGAGAGGTGACCTTTTAGAGGTTTATTAAATCACAAGGGGCATACATTAGATGAACAGTCTGGGTCTTTTCCACAGGGTAGGGAGTCCAAAACTAGAGGGCATAGGTTTAAGATGAGAACGGGAAGATTTAAAAGGGGCCGGAGGGGCAACTTTTTCACACATATGAAACAAGCTGCCAGAGGAGTGGCAGAGACAAGTACAATTACAACATTTAAAATACATTTGGACAGGTAAAAAGAGGAAAAGTTTAGAGCAACATGGGCTAAACACGAAAAATGGGACTAGTTCGGTTTAGGAAACCTGGTAGGCATGGATGAGGTGAGCCGAAAGGCCTATTTCCGTGCTGTATGACTCTGTGATTCGAAATGTTTAACTATGATCTTTTGAATGATGAAACAGACTGGATGGTCTATTCCTGCTCTTATTTCCTATATTATGTTACTACTTTCCTCAGCTTGGGAGGTGAAGCATTTTCTTAGTTGGCATTAAGAGGAATGTTGAAACATCTGTTTTGATACAAGCATCTTAACAAACTGTTGAATCTATCTTTCCAATTAATCTATTTGAAACAGATTTATATCCAGGGCAAAATCTGTCAATGGTAAAAAGATTGAAACTAAGTATTTTGAAAGAAACACAATCAGGCAAGTGTGGAAGGAGGCAAATAACCGCACACTAGAATAAAATAATGATTAAAAACATAAGCTTAACAGCAATCGGTGCATTTAGCACAGAACCTACAAAGATGTGACTTAGAGAGTAATATATACTCAGCACAATCAGACTGAAAACAAACAAAACGGTGTTAGGTACTTATACAGGATCTTTTGAACCTCAAATGAAATTTGAGAGATTTTCAAGGCACAAAGATATTTGCTTGAATGCTTGAAGAAAAGTCTAGTGTTACTGTTACAAATCATTATGGGTCACCAGAAAGACAAATGTCTCCTTTCTAAGTTCTTGAAAAGCATCAGCAAATAGTGAATGTCACAAACCTTCGACAATGAATAAACAAGAACAGAAAAATTCATCAAATGTGTAAATAAGGCAAAGATGGGCTTGTTTCTTAGAGCATTGCGAGGATACAAAAACATGTCAGACTTTATGGTTGCCAGGCAATTTATAGCTTAGAGAAGCCAGAACCAACCAAAGAAAATAACAGGCATTTTCAAGAATGTAAAAAAGTAAAGAACTATCCTTTGTTTTAAAATGCTTTTATACTTTCACAAAGCTTACCAATTCAATGCATCTTGTAACCTAATTAAAAATGAGACAGATGCTAAAGGTGTTAAACTCATTGGAAATTACAGTAGCTCAACAAGTCAATAAAGAGATTTGAACTGCAAGGACATACAAACAAATCAAACATAGACACAGGCTTGCAATCATTAACTACAGAACTATATATGCTAGTCAAGTAGAAAGCAGGGAGGAAATATTAATAGGATTATTATTAAAATGGACAAATAATCTTGATGGGACACTTGACCAAGGGTAGTTCTGGGAACATTAGCTCAGCTGTTGTAACAATAATACCCTTAATGGTCTAGACATACATTTTATTCATTGCAACTTAGAAGGAGGAGATATGAGGAACTGAAAGCCAAACAAGGCAGCTAAGCCATGGGAACTAGAAGATCCAAGATTGAGTTAACAGGGCACATCTGCTTGCCGACATAACTCAATGTACTGATCAGGTTGTGAAGCCTGCCGTATGCTGTACACGCTGGAGTAATGTGATCAGTCACTTCCACAAACTTTGTAGCAGGATTTGGAAGTTATGAAATATAAATTATGAGCTGTAAAAACTAACATGGCTTTCTTTGTGTGACCAGGATCTTCTCCCTTGCCTGTGCTCAAATTTTTTATTCTGCAGATTTGCAAACTGTCATTTTCTGCCACAATGCTAGTAAAAAGCACTGTTAAAATTGTTTAAAAAAAGGTACAGTTCTAATAAACTTGTGTACCCAACACATTATAACTGATAAAATAGCAAATCACACAGGTTTCAGATGTATCAGGTGAAATTTCACTGTGCACAAGAGGAACATCAAAATGGCAATACCAATCCAAGCTTAGGCACTTTCTATTGATGCAGGCTAAAATACATGCAACAAAATTCATTGACAGCATTGCAACAATAATTACAATAACAGGATCTTTGAAATAACAAAGTGCCAACACCAACAGATAATGAAAAAGAACTAATCTATAGTTTGCCGTCTTTCTTGTAAGGATAGAAAAGCTGGACCATTAAGAGTAGAGGTTATTCAAAATCAAAATGTAGCAAAAATAGAAGCAACAGATACCTTTCCAAAGTAGGCCATCACAATACTGTTGAAATATAACTTTCAAATATTCATTTTCAAATATGCTTTCAAAAATATAACTTCAGACATTGCTGCACCTATCTTCCAAAACACTTGGAAACTGGAATTCATAACCTACCTGAGGAGATAAACAGCTCTTTCAATATCATTGAGTTCTTCATCAACTGTCAATCTTTCGATCTCTTCCGGTGTCTACAAATATAAATAGATATTAAAAATAGAGCAGATATGCAATGCAGTTATCAATAAATCAGATAGTTCCGGTCAAACAAGATCCAATCAAGGGGGTGTCATGTGATATCATAAACTGCAATGGAAAACGGTGGTTTTTTGTGATACCAAATGAAAGATTAGTTTTAAATTTTATTTACAACTATCCAATATGTAATTTATAAGAGATAGGGATGTTAATATAGAAAATTGTAATTATTCTGAATTGGTTAGGACTGAACACAGTTGGAGTAGCAAATTGTTTAGACTACCATTTCACCAATCCAAATTAAAATAGAGAAAAACCATTTAAGGTTAACACAAGGGGAGCAAATATCATTTCAACATACTATCGCAACTTTTTTTTTAAAAAGCAAGAGCCGGAACAAATGACAGGGAGAAAACGTATGCAATATATCAGTCAATACCAATGAACTTAGTTCTTCCAGTGCTGTCAGTGATCAAATGGCAACTCTATACTCCTGAATCAGCCTCAACTTTTAAGTGTGATTTTAAGTGTGGTATTCTATTATTTGTAGCCCAGTCACATTTCAGAAGCGATTTGCTCATAACTAAACATGCAGGTTCTGATCTGTAAGCTCATATTTCTTTTTCTCAGTTGGTAGTGCTCTTGCCTCTGGGTCACAAGAATCCAGCTTCAAGTTGTTCTTTAAAACTTGAACACACAAATCAAGGCTGACTCTCTACTCCGTGATTGCGTTGTAGTATCTGAGATACCCACTGCCAGATGTAATGTTACGATGTGAAGGTGCCGGTGTTGGATTGGGGTAGATAAGGTCAGAAATCACACAACACCAGGTTATAGTTCAACAGGTTTATTTGAAAACACAAGCTTTCAGAGCCTCAGTCCTTCTTCAGGTGTCATTTACAACAATGTTGCAACAAGGGCACATCTGCCTGTTTGAATCAGTGTAAAAGAGCCCACAGGCATGATTTATATACCTCAATCAACATCACAAAAAACAGATTAGCTGGTCATTATCACATCACTGTTTGTGGAAGACTGTTTGCATAAATTGGCTACTGCACTTTCTTGGTCTATATGAATGTAAGTCTTCCTTTCTCTTCTTTCTACTAAAAGCATTTTATAACGGATAGTGATGAAAGGTTTATACATGCATTTGACAAGCCATACAAAATAAATTGCTCAAACTGACAAGAGTTTGCTAAAGCCACCTCATCAGCCAAAGTGCGCTTTTTGGCAGAAACCATTTTTTAAAAAAGAGTTTTAAGGTTACCAATCCATGCAGAGTAACAACATACACGGTACAGTGAAATACAGAAAACGGTGGAGAAACTGGATGGGTCAGACGCTTCTGTGGAGAGGAGTTACTATTTCACCCTCTCTCCTCGTCCTCTGCTGCCCTGCTGAGCATTTCCAGCCATGATTTACTTTTAATTCACATATCCAGCATCTGCATTTTGATTTAGCATTGATTTAAAATTCAGATTCATCTGTTCTGTTGTACATTGCACTGAGAACATTTAGCAAAAATCTAGTTTGTATCATATCAGAAATGTCTCCATTAAATTAGTACATCAGATAGCAAATAGATTTCAGGATGTAACAAGGTCCATGTTAATATTTGTTCAGAAATATAACCTGACCTATTCAATGTGGATTTATATGTCCCAAATTTTTCATATATCGATTAAATAAATCTAAAATTAAGTTATGGATTGAATTCTTAATAAAAACGCTCGATATAAATGGCAGCGATACTTAACATGTTAATGATGAACTGGTAAATGTTCCCGTTAAAATGAGTCATAATGTGCTAACAATTTCAGTGCGTACGGCAGATTTGATGTCTCAGTTGCTGATAACTTACATGATATAGCTTCTCTACCCTACGGCTGTAATCGGTATAACTAGTGGAACTGTATAATAAATCTGATTTTGTCTCTGTGCCCGAGGCAGGCAGTCAATTTTCGCTTTAAATACATTTCCAGCACAAGTGATTCAGGGGTAACGCAGGCTCTGCTTTCATTGCGCTGGAAGCGCAGCCCAGTGTAACCTTGATAGCTCTACTTACATATATGGATACTGTGCCTCATATATATATATACACATAGATACATATCTATATATATACACACACATATATAACATATATATTCCACCACCACCATCATCCAACAACCACACTCCCCTTTCTCACATACACACCTTCAGGTATCTACGCACTGGTCTTTCGATGAAGCTAAGTTCCTGCAAATCTTCTATTTGCCCGAATAAATTCTCCTGGTTGAAATCCATCATTTTTTAAAAACAAAATAAGGATTCGAAGAGATGAGAATAAAGCAGCAGAGAGTCCGGGGAGGAAGAAGACCTCTGTGCGTTTGTGTGTGGGTGCGGGATTGAGCCGGGATCCGGGGGTGGGAGAGGAGGCTTGGGGAAGACAAGAGTGTGCAGAGTGGTGGGGTGAAACCGGGGTGGGATGGAGGTGAAGGTGGGGGTGGTGAGAGGGAATAGAGAATGAGTGTAGTGGTGGGAAGAGAAGGTGACGATGATGGGGGAAGAACAGAGGGTTAGAGCAGTGGGAGAAGAGTATGAGGGGGGGAAGAGAGGGTGAAGATCGGGGGGGGAAGAGAGGGTGAAGATCGGGGGGGGAAGAGAGG